TGCAAATACCACCGTGTTGACCATACTTCCAACTGACCCAAAGTTTGCAAAGAAGGAAAAGATTTGTCAGATAAAAAATATCCGACATCAACCGGTATTTGAAATAGTCAACATGTAAGGTTAAAACGATGTTCAAAATGTTCAGTTTGGAATTACGAGGCGCCACCTCTTAATTAAGTCACCAAAATCGCTCTTAATTCCGTTCGTTTTCTGGAGTGCTGCAAAAGTCAGGCATTCCACATATTCCGTTAATGACAAATCTAATAACAACTACATTCGCAAATGGCGCATTAATTGATTAGAGAGGAAGGAAGAGAGGCTATCCGTTTTTTTTTTGTTTTTTTTTAAGTGGATCTGGGAATTTGTTCAAATTAAATTTGTATGCATAACATAAAGAGCATGCTTGACATTTTTCTCTTCATTTCGTACACAATTTGATCATATCTGTAACTAGGTAATCGAGAATAATATCACATGATTATCTATGTATTCGACATCACATGGTGTAGTGTCTTCTGTTTAAAACAGTGACGTTATCAAATCTTGTGTTCCAGCTTTCCACTGAATCAGTGACGTTATCAAATATTGTGTTCCAGTTTTCGACTGAAGTCGGTTGACCCTGACCCAAGGATTATTTCGAAGGTATGCATGTGAAAATGTTCGTGTCTCTCGGTCCGAGGGAGAAATTACATCGCTCTTAATGTGATGAATCGTCGATATTATCTAGTCTAAAAGGTACATAAGATGTTTACGACCAATATCTTTCAAGATTTAGTTTTTTCAGGTGCTTTTGGCATAATACTTTTAAGTGACATTGGATTGTTAACGTCTTAGAATGAGCGCGCAACACGTGCTTTTAATTACTCGCTGAGCTAGTGTTACAGTCTGACAATTGGCAAGAGTTTCGCGCTGCAGTCAAATTCATTTGATCGCACCTGTGTAATCTAAAAATTTCAAGTCAATTACTCCATGGTTTGCTCAAGTGCCCTGCACCTGTACATTAAAAAACAACAGCATCAGTGTACATGCAATGGACCGTTTCTGAGGCTGTGATTATGAAACGTTGTTTTAATGTAGATAACGAAAGTACCAATTGAAAACTATTACAGGTGTATCAAAGTTATCTAGTCGAATAACTCCATCTCAATAATCGTGCATATGTTTATGGGTTTTACGGTGAAAATTGCATTAAATGTACAACTCTTATTATTGATATAATTGGGATTTACGTATTAGATCCAACACATGCTAAATATATCAGTATTTTATAACATTTTTTGACTATATCTTATTGATTAGAGTATCGTATCAATAAACTACGGTATAGTTGTACCTGGTACACTGCGTGTTGAATGAAGAACATAGGATTGATCACAAAGTTACCTTTGTAAGCATAAAGCTTTGAACTTCATTCCAGCAAAAAGTCTGGCTTCACCAAAAGGCAATTATGAACTATCCAAAAGAATCAATTGTCAAGCAAAACTCGAATAAATTCTATAATTGTTTTTAGCAAAATTTAAAAATGTGCTAATTGTACGGTGCATTCTGTGACAAATAGTTACAATTAGAGAAAAGAACAGATAGAGGTTTAACTCCGATTTAAGATGAGAAAGCCAATTAAGATGTAGACGTAGCAAATATGATTCAAACTTAACTGCCTTAATAAAAAAAGATATAAAATGGTGAAGTAAGAGCGTAAATAATTTCAGAAAAATGGAAGCATTCTCATTCTTTGTACACATTATTAGGATGTATGAAATCTATTGCTAAAAGATATATATATATATATATATATATATATATATATATATATATATATATATATATATATATATATAATGATTCAGAATCAATTATTAAAATCTGAGAAAAGCAAACTTAATTAATTTTGCTATATTTCTTCTATTGACAATCACAAAAAAGTTGCCGTTTTTGAAGATTAAATCCTGACACACCTTAAATCAAGTCCGGTTAAATGAAATCGGTATAATAGACGTAATAACCAAACTACAAATAACAGGTCTTCTACTACTGACGATATAAAAAGGCGTGTTAATTGCGAAAACGGAATTTTCAATTTGCAAACAACTCTTACTACTTTTCAATAAACATTTAAAGTCACGAGTTTCCAATCAATGGAGAGAGGTCAAAATCGGTGACAGTGTTAAAAAAATAGATGGCAAATTTATTCTGTCCAACCACAGACTTATATCCCATTGGAATAATATTGGCACAATTTTCGAATATATATATATATATATATATATATATATATATATATATATATATATATATATATATATATATATATATATATATATATATATATATATATATATACAGGGAGAGGGAAGAGGGAGATAATGATAATAATAATTAATAATAATAATAATAATAATAATAAAAATAATAATAATAATAATAATAATAATAATAATAACAACAATAATAATAATAATAATAAAAATAATAATAATAATAATAATAATAATAATAATAATAATAATAATAATAATAATAATAATAATAATAATAGCAATTCTTATAAAAATTTAGTTTCTTTAAAAATATCAATCTGCCGTTATACTTGATCGTCCAACAACTTATAACCTCGAGTATATAAATCGCCTGAAATAAATTTACATAAGAAAAGCTTCGTGTATTATATGTTAGCATGTAAAGATGATTAATTAGCTAATAGGACTCTGAAAGTTACTGTAGGAAACGAATTGTCAAGCCTTAGACGACATGTTTTAAGCTCGTGCCTTTTTCTTGTATACATTATATGCTTATAATCACTGATTAGGTTATATATATATATATATATATATATATATATATATATATATATATATATATATATATATATATATATATATATATATATATATATATATATTTGAGTTGCTATATGGAAATATTTCTCGAGTGAAGTGGGAAATATAGTGCTGTCACGAGTCAAATATTTCCGTATATCTACAAAAAAGTAGATTGTCTTTTATTATCTGTTTTTAAAAGGCAAAACCTGTCGATTTTCTTGGATCTCTTCTCATTATATACCATATGCCAATGCGAATAGCATATGCAATTATACATCGATAAAAAAAAGTACTGATATTTACAATACCTTTAGAATAGCTACCTTTGACGAATTTATTTTTGTACAAATATTACTCAAAATTATGCCTTTGTAATTAATTGACGCCTATTTTCAAAAGACAGTGAAGTAATTTAAAATTTCCGTTACCAATTTCTTGCGCGGATTATACAATAAACATCGTTGGGGTTGGGGTGCAGTAGAAATATCTCGGACCGGTCCCATCTAGCAGATTTCAGAGCGTAACTACTTTAATAAAAGATTAGGAATGATTGCGAAGCTACTTACAAGGATTTGGGTTGTTTATTTTGTTCATGTCTGCATTTAAACATGATTTTATGAACTTGGAAACCTTGCTGTCTTAATTGCAATTAGCAACCCAGCAACTTTATTTCTCTATCGTTTTCAAAAATGTTTAGGATTGTGTTGATTCTAGACTTTAATGCAATTCCAGACCTTTGTTATGTTGATGAAATTAAAGTTACGTCTCCCATATTTAACGTATTTATATCTGGTACCTTCAGATTAATATATCATAATTTAAGTTAATCTCCTTGCATTAAGGAATAATTAAGTAAGAGTTACTCTAATAGATCCTATTTGCGAGTTAAACCCCTTCCCTACTTGGTGGGAGTGGATTACCTGGTTTTTGTTATCGTTATCTAGAGGTGATCGCCGACGGTGTAATTTCCCCGGAACGAGTAAGTATCCCTATAAGGTGTGAAACTTATGGGTGGAATAATTAAAGATTATATATATATATATATATATATATATATATATATATATATATATATATATATATATATATATATATATATATATATATATATATATATATAAGAATAACAAGAGTCCCCGTTACAAATAAAGACAAAATTTAATAAAAATTCATAACAATAAAATTCATAAAAAAAAGTAAAATGCGTTACGATTAAGATACACTTCCTCCTTTTTGAATTAATTTATTCAAGGAATTTCAAATACAAAAATGATTATGTCAATAGCCGATCTGTTAGACGAGAGAATTAATTCATCATTGAATCGAAAAATATTGCCTTGTATCGATTCATAGCCTGATGCATCGACTCATACTAAATTCCACAACGACTGTCCCTTTTGACTTCCTTGTGCCGGTAAATCTGTGTCTTTTCCACTTGTTCCCCTTTCTTATCCAAATTCTTAAGTATCAAGCCAGTTTTGGCCATTCCAATTTTGTGTAGCCTCTTTGGGTTTGTAAATTCGTGAGACTTCCCGTCACGTTAGGCTAATGTCTCGTGAAGCTATCTCACCTTGTGTTTTCAAGCTTTTACTTTCCAGAATTGTGCCTCAATTTTTCCAGGCAATCGTTTCCCCTGGATGATTTTACGATTGAATTTACTTCTTAAATTACCCTGAGCCTTCTTACGTTCGTTTTCTCTTTTAGAAAAGCGTAGAGTAACTTTCCAATTTGCTATTAGTACATTTAAACTGAGAGTTTTCATGTGAAACCACGCTCGTTTCACAGTGTGTCCAATCTGGATGAAATATATTTTCCGCCTGGACTAGGCTAAAAACAATGCAGTTCACCTGACAAACATTGATTACCCAACTGATTCCTGGCAATTTTCAGAAATGACAGTTTTCCATACAGCTCAGAAGTTGACCCCCATCCTGTTCAGTTTAAACAAACGTAGTCTTAATCAGAAATCGCTAAACTCATGACAGTGACTGTACCAATCCGTGCATTTTGGCGATTTAAACGCGCCCAGGTCCCCATAAATCTAATTAATCCTTCACGCGTGGAACTAAATGTTTCCTACAGAGATCGACAGAAAAAGGTTGCTCCATTACAATGATATATCACATTTTTCATGTAAATGATTTAATAAAATTAAGGACCTTCACATTTTATTCTTCTTTGGACCGCTCCGGTGGCCTAGTGGTTAGAGAGTCCACCTCAGATGCGAGAGGTCCTGGGTTCGAATCCCGGCTGAGTCATACCAAAAAATGGTACATGCATATGCCTCGCTTGCCGCTCAGCATTAAGAGGTTAGTGTTAGGACTGGTCGGCTGGTGTCATGATAATGTGACTGCGTGGTACATTATACTACATGTCATGAGGCATGATGCCCCAATGCTAGACATCACCTTAAACTACCGATATGACTGAAACATTGTTAAAGCTACGTTAAAAATCCAAATATATTTCTCTTTTTCTTTTTCTTCTTCGTTTTCTTCTTCTTTACTCTGAGTCAAATAGTTTTGGTGAAATCAAAATATTCCGTGATTTACATGCCCCAACCCCACCACCGGTTTGAAATTGTTATAAATAAAAATCTGTTTAATTTAGTTTACGTCATTGTGTCTTTTAGTGGCAATAAATTACTGGCGTGGCAAATACGCCTTGAACTGAATCATAGGTAATTAAATTTGTTTACCTAATCGTTATCAAATGAAGACGTGCACTTACCAGATGCAAACATTTGCAGAGAATGGACTAGAAATAAACATTGGTAGTCTAAAGAATATTGGTGTTAGCAAGTGTGCTATACAGGTGTTCTTCCACGTAGAATACTCTTCGTCATCTAATTGTAGCTATAATTAGACATTTTTGAAAAGATTTCTGTCAGCCTTAAATGACCCGACAATGTAATAATTATATTTATTAATTTGTAAATTGAAATCAGACTTTGAAAACCATGGTTTAATTGTAATAAACGATTGCCAAAGGTTAAGGTCTTCCTCACCATGAAACACGAGAATCATTCCTTTTAACATTGCGTACCAGTAAATTGAAATATATTTCGTATTCTAAACAATTTTAAAACTTTTTTTTGTTCCCTACCAATATAAATGGTCATTATTATTTATTTTACCGCAGTTATGTACCTTATGTCATGCGTTCTCGACAGATCCAGTTATGTACCTTATTCCATGCGTTCTCGACAGATCCAGTTATGTACCTTATTTCATGCGTTCTAGACAAATCCAATTTTGCCCCAGCGTAGACTTTGAGGGGGATAAGAGCGAGGTGAAAAAACGGAGACCAAATGAATCTGAAGTAAGAAATGACTTTGGCATTAGCGACATCTTACTGATGCCGATGCTGTCTGCGAAAATCGGTAGCTTATATGTATTGTTTAATTTCTTATGTATTTAAATAATTAGATATCAATTGATTTATTTATTTACTTCATCGTTTTTTATGTTGGAATTTGCATCTTCCTTAATGTACGACCATATTTGTTTTTAATTTGTTTAAAACTCTTGTGAAAATAAATTCTTGTTAACGTTACATAGTAAAACCTCTATGCAAAGGTTTAACGTTTATTTAAGGGGCTTGCAGATATATGTCCCACTTTATTCGTCTTCAGATAGTGATCATCGTCTTATTGGGTTAGGACATGGTTTTGTATATATACCACATCAAACAACACAAAAATACTATAATTATCTTTTTATGAACATTTACTTGCAAACGGTCGGCTGCTTAACTATTAATGATTTGTAAGAACTATAATTGCAGTACAGCACATTTCTCGCCAGATAATTGTTCTGATATTGCAGAAATGCCGTATGTGATTTATCTACGTTATAATTTCTGACATAATGTTCGTAGCTTTATCCATATCGCGAATCACACAATTAAAAAGACTAATAGGAAAAAAATCAAAGCCAACGACGAACGCTGATGCCCTCTCATGACGTCACTTGCTAACATTGCGCATCACACTAAGGAAATGTGTCTCGGTGCGATAAAGGAAACTACACTACATTGCACGTTATGTACACAGCACTACGTTGCATGTTATTGTATCTAAATTGTTTTTTATAGTATGAGACACTTTTCAATACTATTGCGGGCAAAAATGGCTACACTACTAATTATAAAAAGGAGATCGTACTAAATCAGAGAAACCATGCAGCCAGTTCAGATAATTGCACAGATCGGCACAAAAGCTCATTTTTATCTGGTCAATTATTTTAGCTTTTCCAGATACATTTGTTACATCATTACTACATCAGAATGTTTGTAGGATATCTAGGGTGTTTGTAACATTACTAGATATATAGTGGATATCTAGGGTGTTTGAAACACTACTAGATAGATAGTGGATATCTAGGGTGTTTGTAACATTACTAGATATATAGTGGATATATAGGGTGTTTGTAACATTACTAGATATATAGTGGATATCTAGGGTGTTTGTAACATTACTAGATATATAGTGGATATCTAGGGTGTTTGTAACATTACTAGATAGATAGTGGATATCTAGGGTGTTTGTAACATTACTAGATATATAGTGGATATATAGGGTGTTTGTAACATTACTAGATATATAGAGGATATATAAGGTGTTTGTAACATTACTAGATATATAGAGGATGTCTAGGGTGTTTGTAACATTACTAGATATATAGAGGATATATAAGGTGTTTGTAACATTACTAGATATATAGAGGATATCTAGGGTGTTTGTAACATTACTAGATATATAGTGGATATCTAGGGTGTTTGTAACATTACTAGATATATAGTGGATATCTAGGGTGTTTGTAACATTACTAGATATATAGAGGATATATAAGGTGTTTGTAACATTACTAGATATATAGAAGATATCTGGGGTGTTTGTAACATTACTAGATAGATAGTGGATATCTAGGGTGTTTGTAACATTACTAGATATATAGTGGATATATAGGGTGTTTGTAACATTACTAGATATATAGTGGATATCTAGGGTGTTTGTAACATTACTAGATATATAGTGGATATCTAGGGTGTTTGTAACATTACTAGATAGATAGTGGATATCTAGGGTGTTTGTAACATTACTAGATATATAGTGGATATATAGGGTGTTTGTAACATTACTAGATATATAGAGGATATATAAGGTGTTTGTAACATTACTAGATATATAGAGGATGTCTAGGGTGTTTGTAACATTACTAGATATATAGAGGATATATAAGGTGTTTGTAACATTACTAGATATATAGAGGATATCTAGGGTGTTTGTAACATTACTAGATATATAGTGGATATCTAGGGTGTTTGTAACATTACTAGATATATAGTAGATATCTAGGGTGTTTGTAACATTACTAGATATATAGAGGATATATAAGGTGTTTGTAACATTACTAGATATATAGAAGATATCAGGGGTGTTTGTAACATTACTAGATAGATAGTGGATATCTAGGGTGTTTGTAACATTACTAGATATATAGAGGATATATAAGGTGTTTGTAACATTACTAGATATATAGAGGATATCTGGGGTGTTTGTAACATTACTAGATAGATAGTGGATATCTAGGGTGTTTGTAACATTACTAGATATATAGTGGATATATAGGGTGTTTGTAACATTACTAGATATATAGTGGATATATAGGGTGTTTGTAACATTACTAGATAGATAGTGGATATCTAGGGTGTTTTAACATTACTAGATAGATAGTGGATATCTAGGGTGTTTGTAACATTACTAGATATATAGTGGATATAAGGTGCATTTTAGCATGAGATTTACAGAGGATATCTAGGTCCTTTTTAGTAGATATGAGGAAATATGTTAGTGAAGCGGAAAGATTGTATTGTCTTGACTGGCATCGTATCCAACAGACTTCAGATCCTAATATCTTGAAGTAGATGACCTCTAAGACCCTAATGACTTGTGGGATTTTGGTTCTCTATTTTATTTATTTCTCCCTTATAAATTGTGACCTGGGCTGGCTTGCAGTCTAAAAAGACGTTGCATCCATATTTTGATTGGCAGTTAATTTTGGTTTGCAATCAAAGCTCACATATCCCCCGACTTCTCCATCGGTTTCAGGCATGATTATGATCGTAATGAGAGTTAAGATTGCTACTAAAGCAATTTTAGTACCATATTTAATCAAGCCTTTTTAAAAAAGCAAATATAAACTGTTTTGTCGTAGATTGTAACAATTATTCGATAATGTATGGGCGTCACAATATTGAGTAGTAATAGGTCATGTAAGTTCAGTCTCTGGCAGTTTGCATGATCCATGCGCAAAGATAATCCACGAGGTACGCTTTTTGTTCGAGTGCATTTTTCATGGCGTCTTTTCAACCGCTCCAGTGGCATTGCGGTTAAAGATCCGCTTCGGTTGGGGTAGGTCGCGGGTTCGAACTCGACTGAGTCATCCCAAAGACTTAAAAAATGGCATTAAAAGCTGCTTTATTATGTGCTCGGCATTAAGAGGTTAGCGTTAGGACTGATTGGCCTAGTGTCAGGATAATGTGACTGCCTGGCACAGCATGCTACATGTCTGCGCTTTGATTCCCCAGTGCTAAACATAACTATAAATTGTCACACTGCAGACATCGTAGCGATATAACTGAAAATTTATTAATGCTACGTTGAAAATCCAAATCTCTCCAACACACACACACACACACACACACACACACACAGACACACACATTGCGTCTTTTCATTTATTACATAAGTATTTAGTAAAGGGTCTACAGTCATGACACGTAAGATATGTTTATCCCGGTTAATTATCCCACTTTACACTTTTATCGGTACAGTCTTTAAACGACAATTTACATAACAATTAACAGATACATAGCAAATTCATCTTATATCAGGTACTGACCATTTATTTATTTTGGGGGAGGGGAGCTGCAATTTTGTTTTCTCCAGCAGAGATATTATATCTTCCTTTACCTCAGGACACCTCATTTTTTTAAAAAATTATATAATGGACGTAAAATGATGTTTGTTTGCTTTAAATCAGAGCATGATATTTTTACAGCTATATGAGAGCCAGGAATGTCAAAAATAAAAAAAAATTAAAAACATGTCAGGCGTTTTCAGCAGAAATTTATATTGTTGGTCCTTACAATATTTGTGGTATACCGTGATACGTATCGATGGATACCGAGATACGTATTGCGTTTATTTTTTTCTTCAAAAAGACGGTACTACGCTCTTCTTACCTACCTACAT